ATGTGAATATAAACAAAATAATCAACATTATAGAAATTACACATCATTTAAGATTTGGTGGAGCATATAAAATAAACTGATTTTCTATATTAAAATACTTTAATTAATTCCTTTAGTATTTTTTTTTATTTATGAGGAAAAAGAGAAAAACACAAAACAAAACAAAGCAGTGTAAGGTTACACATAATACAGAACTACAAAAAAAAAACATAACAGTAAGAAATCACCTGTTAATAGATTACATATTATCATCTTGGAAATAGTTGCTCAAATCACAGTATCAAAGAATACAAAGTAGACATTCAAACAGAGAGACTGCAAACAGCTGTGTTCAATGATCCAAAAACATTAATATAGTCAGCTATTTAACACCCCTAAACACACTTGCTGTTATATCCATTAGAGCTCTTTTTTTTTTCCTCCCTCTCTTTTTTACAACAAAATTTACACATTTTGGATTTTATTACTCCTTAGTTCTTATTACTTTTGGGGGGGGGGAGAATAAAGTCAAATATGGCAAAACAAAGCTGTCAGTCAAAACCAAGGATAGACATAGCACATGATGTAGAACAGAGTACAAGGTTATTAACAATGGTTATCAACGTTGTCTCTTGTTTCCTTAAAAAAAATTGTCTATCTCATTAGATATTATAAAGTTGGACAAGACAGTAGAGAACAAGACCAATAAAACTTAGGCATTGTGAACATTACAGGACTTCCAAAGGAGACAATAGTCAAACCAGAATGGGCATCTTTGTGAATCTTATTGCCTTCAAAGTAGTTGCCTATACCCTCAGACTTGATACTATCGCACAGAATGGAACAGAGTCAATCAGTCAAAACAAGATCATGGGAGTATTACAGGACTTCAAAACAAGTTAATAGGAAATCGAAAAGAGTTACTATTATATATCCTAATTTTTAAAATTTTTCCCTTAATTAAAATAAACATAAGAAATAACTAAATAATTTTTTTAAAGAATAGTAGTTACCATAGTGTCTGTCTTTTTCCTTGAAATATTTGGATAAAACTTCATATACTATAGCTTCAAATATTTCCATATCAAGAAGCCCAGAATAAAGCCTTTCTAATTAATAAGTGAAAATTTTATAAGGCTTCAAGGCCACATAATGGGGAATCATGATTACCACATATTTTTATATATTTGAGTCATTACTTACATTAGGGAAACTATTCGGTATTCATATATGCGAGATTGATTTATTTCACTTATGAGTATGGTCTCAAGCTGCGCCCATTTATTGATAAATATCTCAACGTGATCCTTCTTTATAGCTGAATAATACTCCATTGTATAGAAATACCACAACTTTTTTATCCATTCCTCAGTTGATGGACACTTGGGTTGTTTCCAAGATCTGGCGATTACAAATTGTGCTGCTATAAACATAGGTGCACATTAATTAATTCCTTTAACATACTTGGGCTCCAACCCAAGGCCTCATGCTTGGTAAGTAAGTACTCTAGCACTGTACTGTGTCCTCAGTCCTTTTTATTTATTTTGAGACTGGTTCTTGCTAAGTTGTCCAGGCTCGTCTCAAACCTTCATTTCTGCTTTAGCCTTCCAAGTAGCAATGATTATAGATGTGTTTTACCATGCACAGCTAAACTTCTGAATAAAGAGAAAATATGAAATTTCGCCCTATCCACTTGGAACAAATATGTGATAACATGTATTTCTCCCATTAAGATTAAAGGCAAAATAAATTCCATTAGCCAGAAGGGGAAAAGATTTATATTAAAAAAGAGAGCTTAATTAGGTGCTTATAATTTCTGATACCACATTCTTTAATTCTTTCAGTTATTATACATATTTACTGAATACTTAGTGCCAGATGGAAGAAGTAGTGAACAGAATAAGATCTTTGCAGCCATTGAAAGTAAATTCTAGTATGGAGATGAGTAAAAAAAGAAATAAAATTAAAATACTAGATGCTATGTTCAGTTTTAGGATTTAAATGGTTAATGTGTTTATAGTAGATAGCTTAGGCTAAAGACATGTTACATCCAGCCTATTTTTTGTTAGAGCTAGTCAGTAGTACATGGACAGATATGGAAAAAGGAGCAGATTTCAAGGTGAGCTATAAATATAATGAATAAAAGTAAAGTATAAATGACAGGGATTATTTGGCATAGAAAAATATAGATAATTCCTTAAGAGATTTTAAATTATGTGAAGAACAGTGATTAACAATTTTTGTCTTCCACTGAGAGGGAATTGAAACTTTTTTAAAAAAATTTTTAAGTATGGAAAATTAAAAAAAAAACATATAAAGTTAAAGTAGTATAATGAGCTCTCTGTTTCCCTATCACTTTAGTTTGTCTATTTTATTTTATTCTTTGAGACAGGGTCTCTCTATGTAGTTGAGGCTAGTTTTGAACTCACTATGTAGCCCAGACTGCCCAGACTGAATTTGCAGTAATCTTCCTGCCTCAGCCTCCTGAGTGCTGGGATTACAGGCGTTCATTACCACGTCCAGCTCACATTGATCTATTTTATATTCCTATCAAATTATAGGACATTTTTGTCCTTTAAGAAAAATCTCTTAATAATGCTTTCTTGTTAATCTTTTCTCCAGTCATTTACTGGTTTGTTTTTGTTTTTTAAACCATAGATTACTTCTCTTTGTGCTATAATTTAATCTACAGCTGTCCCTTAGGTTTCTGTGAAAGGTTCCATGAGTTTGCTCAAAAACCAAAATTTGTAAATGGCCAAGTCCCTTATATAAAATTGTAATGATATATGCATATTCTTCTGTGTACTTTTAAATTATACCTAAATTACTTATAGTACCTACAATGTAAATAATCGTTATATTCATTATCGAGTTCTGACCTAGATCCCCGATCTCCCAAATGAGTGTACAGCGGAGGTTAAGAGACAAATCATATGATTTTTAGGGCTCCAGGAGGGCCAAAACTCTTTAATTAAGCACGAGACTTTGAGGGTTAAGAGAAAGGATTCTCTGAATCAATCCACTTATATTAGGACAGAGGGCAGAGAAACTGAGAAAAGTGCAGGCAATGAGCAGAACCTTGGGAGTCACTTCAAAGGCCTCTCCAGGCATGAATCAAGTCAATTAGTAGAACTATCTTATCACAAAGGCCATGGTAGAAGTGAAACTATAGGAGTAATCTTTGCAGCTGCAGTCTCTACCTTGTTAATTGGGGTTGTAGCCAAGTGTCTGCAGCTGTGGCCTTATCGTGCCCTTTGAGATATCTCTGGCCTCACAGGCCACTACAGGCATCAGCCAGGACCAAATCCTGCTCAGAGCTGCTTCATAGTGGTCTCCAACAATCCATAAAATTCCTGTGCATGTATTCAGTACAGATGATTTTTGATTGAAGGTTGGTCAAATCCATAGCCACAAAAGCACAGGTCCTGTTTTATATGGTATACAGTATGTTCTTTTGTACTTAGCTTTTTTTGCCTCTATTACTAGAAATTAAATTTCTAATTAAGTATTTTTGATTGAAGGTTGGTCAAATCCATAGCTACAAAAGCATAGGTCCTGTTTTATATGGTATACTGTATGTTCTTTTGTACTTAGCTTTTTTGCCTCTATTATTAGAAATTAAATTCATAGCCTTTAGATTCAGTTATATTCCCAGTTCTTTATTTTTTATTTTCAAACAAGGCCTCATTAAGTTGCTAAGTTGCCCAGGCTAGGTTCAAACTTGTGATCCTCCTATCTCAGTCTCCTAGTGTGCTGAGATTACAGGTATGTGCTACACACCTGGCTTACTTTCATCTTTTATCTGTTGTGAAAAATGCTATGTGAACACAAGTATGCAAATAATCTAAGTTTCTACTTCCAGTTTTGTTAGTCTTATATACAAAAAGCAGAATTGCTGAATCATTTAATGATTCTGTTTTTAATTTTGGGATAACAGCCATGAATTCTAGCTTAATGATGTGCCCCTCTCCCAGATTTTTAAACATTTTTTTTTATTTTAAAGATAGTAAAATACAACAAAACAGTACAGAACAAAGCCAATCAAGACAATGCAGTGAAATTGGTATAGAACTTCAGAGTAGGATATGGGGATAACAATAATGGGTACCATAGTATAGCTTGTTTTCTTCACAGTAGTTGTCCATTCCATTAGGTATAGCAAAATCAAACCAAAAACAGAATATTATAAAACCTATCAAAACAGAATATCGAATAGAGCAAAACAGTTCCTCAGAACAAAGCAAAACAGTTAGAACAATATTGGACTTCAAAGACGAGATAGAAGGAAATCCCCCATATTTGCTATATTTCATACTGTCGTCCTCCCAAGAGATGCTCAGACTGCTGGCCCCAGGCCTGCAAAATCAACCAAACAACACAAGCATTGAGTTGTTTTATGTACCTTAGTTGCTATCAACTCAGCCTGTGCTCTGAACCAGCTAGTTGCTTGGGAGGGTGAGGATGCTTGGGGCATGGAATTTGATTTGCAGCCCATGCGCTGGTAGGCTCATGGGAGGTGCTATTTGACTTTTCTCTTTCTGGAACCCGTGGCTCACCAAAAAGGCTAGCTAGTCGGCAGCTTTTCCCAGTTCCAGCATGGCCAATTCTTGAGACACTGGCTCTTCCCTCTCTGGAACCTGTGTGACATAGCCAGCAAGGCTGGCTATTTGGTTTCTTGGTGGCTTCTCTCAGTCCCCATAATTCCCCTCCCTGATTTATTAAAGATGATGTTTTTGTTGGCTTCTGTTCTCTGTACTTTCTGATAAGAACGTAGATAACTGTTTATGTTTCTGTATACTTCAGTATTTTGCTCTCTGGCTGCTTTCAAGATTTTTTGTTTAAAAAAGAAAAATGCTTTCTCTTTTAAACTGCCATGTGCATAGGTGTATTTTATTGTTTTATTAATATTCTTTATTGTTTTTTGATGCATTAAGGTGTGCTTACATTTAACCTGAATACTTCCCCAAAGGTAGGTCCCTGAGGTTCTGCTATCCTAAGTCTTTGCTTCTCTACTTTTTTAGGTTGGATATTTCCTTTTGATTTTGAGTTCATTCGCACTTTCTCCTGGTGTTTTAAACTTGCTATAAGCTTATCTGGTATGTTTTTCAATTTAGTTACTGTAATTTATAGGTCTAGAATTTCTGTTTGGTTCTTACATTATCCAGATCTCTGAGATTGCTCATATTCGAATTTGTTTTCAAAATGTTGCTTTAAAATTTATTACAGTAAAAGACACTTTGCCATTAATCTCCTTTGATAATACACACTTATTTTTTCTTGCCACCTTCAGAAGCTGTTTTTGCACTTTTATTTTTTGATATTTAAAGAGATTTCTGTCCAGTAAAAAATATTCATATATGCACAGTATTTGTAAATCAACAGTTGTACTAAGTTGCATTTAGTTAATTTTAAATTTCAGTTGCCTTTTCCTCCTAACTTGAACAAATGGAGAAAAAAAAGGCAACTAAGAAAGAGGGATAGCTCATGGCAGCTTCTTTTCCAGGATCCTAACTTTTTCTTCCAACAGTCATTCAGTTTCACATACCTCACTTTTTCTTTTCTCTTAGAATTTTAAAGGTCTGCTGGTATTTTGGTAATTCTGCTGGAATTGTTTAGACTTCCTGCAAATACTGCTTTTGGTTGGGCTGTGGCTATTGTTTTTTTTTTTTTTTTTTTGTAAGTACATATTTGTAGTATATAATGTTTACATTCCTTGTAGGGAGTTGATACATGTACGTGTGCTAATTCCTTTTTTAATCTCCTTTCCTTTCCCTTTCACGTCCTTCCATCACTTTATTGATTATTTATTTATTTATTTTTGTGCATGTTATCAAGGGCCTTGTCTTAATTGCCCATCAGTTTCTAGTTATTACTGAAAGTCTAAATCAGGATTTTGTTACTTCTGTTCTTCGTATTTGTGGCCATTCTTTTTATTACTTCCTAGTGCTCTTACAATTATATACGCGAGTGACTCTGACTACTATCATGGATGATATTGTGTACCTAGATCTGATTAATATTTGAGATTATGTTTGTTGACAAGACCTGTGTGTCCTGTGTACTGTTTACTTTATTTTACTTATTTATTTTGGTTTTTTGAGACAGTGTTTTGCTGAGTATTTTAGGCTGGCCCTGAACTCACCATGCATCCCAAACCTTCCTTCCTCTCCACTCATGTGTAAGAGGCAGAGAGCTCCCAGAGACTGCCTTTCTTTTTCTTTGTTTTTTTCCTTTTGTGAGACAAGGTCTCACTCTGTAGCTCATATTGGCTAGGAACTCACTGTGTACCCCAGGCTGGCCTAAAACTCACAGTGATCCTCTTATCTCAGTCTCCTGAATGCTGGGATTACAGGTGTGTGCCACCACACCAGGCAAAAAGATAAACATTTGATATATAGTAAAATATCATTAGGATGTTTTAAAAATACAGTTCAATTTAATTTAGATTTGTAGATACTTGGCCATTAATACACATAAAACATTAAGATAAAGCCATGAAAACATTTCTTAATGCTTAGTAATTCACAAAATCATTGTGTGAATATTTTGTTCAGTTTGGGGTCTATCTTGGCATATTGCTTGTTTGTTATTTTCTGCCTCATAGTACTACTGTGCTATAAATAACAGTCTCCACTGGAAACAACAACTGTGGGAAAAAATCATTTTTTGAGAGGTACATAAGTAAGGAACTCTTTGGAACAGAAATGTTTTCCACTTTTAGAACTTGGTTTTCAGGTTTTGAGAGCTTAGAGTATCAAACCTTGAGAAAACATGAAGCCCCCTTTTAGGAAATAAGTGCTACAAATGTCATATCATTTAAATTCATTCTTTCTACTACGTTATGAAGCTGTATGCTGTAATAGATATTACCAGTTTTGAGTTCTTTTAATAATAAATTTTACTGCCATATATTTTTTCTAGTTTTAAAAATTTATAAAATATTTAATCACTTTTAAATTTACCAGTAGAAATTCTGTTATTGGTAAAGAAATTTTTATGTGTATGTGAAGAGGATGAGATTTACTAGGTATTCATGATTTTATATAGTGACTCATAGGAAAATTATTTGAAAATTAGAGTTTTTAAGGCATGCAATAGTTAATACTCTAGGAGACTTTTTTCATTGTGACAAATCATTTATATTCTCTTTCTGCTTTATGTGGAGAGTAGCTATAATGTGAAACTCATATAGATTAATGGACAGAAAAAGGAAAAAAACTCCACTGTGATTAATAAACATAATAGTAACTACTGAATACTTTAAGGTGGATGTTTTTCCATTTTATTGTTAAATACAGGGTATATTTACTTCTGGCACATGGGAAGAGAAATCAGATGAAATTTCATTTGCTGATTTCAAATTTTCTATCACTCATCATTATCTTGTACAAGAGTCCAATGAGAAAGAAAGGAAAGATGAAGTACTGGAAGGTAAGTTTTATAGTCTTGTAATTATAATTTTGAATTATGAATTTGTGCCTGAAACCACAGATGGTATCAAATCCTACAGGAATTTTCCATTTAATATTTTTGGACTACATTTGGTAACTGAATCTGTAGAAAGCAAATCTGTGAATAAGGCAGTACTACTCCATTCTTCCATATTTATTTAGAAAAGAAACATGCAGATCATGTTAAAAGTTTATTTGGTTAATGACTATTATCATTTGTAAGTATAGTCCTTCCTTTTCTTGTGCAACAGTAGCATTGTATGACCTTTTCTTTTTCTTTCTTAAGGTGATTTCTCCAAAATATAGAGAATACAAAAATAAGCACTTTATTTTATAAAGCAAACACAAAGGATTGGTGTATATCCAAAAGGTTTATATTCCTACATTTTGGATAATTCAATTTAGAACTTATACAGGTTTATTCCTACAGGCTAACAAACACATCACTTGTCTCTATGGAAGAAAATTAATTCTCAAAATTAACATGGTTTTTAGTGTTTCATATCTCACTGTTCTTTAAAAACCTAGAGACCAATAACATCCAATAACATCCAATAAAAATAAACTGAAAGACTTTGTTGTAATAAATTTTGCCCGTGTTCACCAGGTTTGTTTAATATAGTGTGTACACAAGGAAAATACACCTACTCTGTAATTTTTTACAAAATAACAAGGAGTAGATGTAGAAGATTTGGGAAGAAAAGAGAATTCAAAAAGTCCTTTCTTTGGTAACTTTCACCTCAGAATCATCAAAAAGGGACCACTTCCCTTCATACTCCTTTAAGCTTTGCACTACACAGAAAATTTTTTTCTCAAATCCACTCATGTAAATGCCTGTTTGTTTACTAGATTTCTTGTTCCTATCCAACTTTGTGAGTCCTGTTAGTATTGTTGGTCTCAGAACTTCTACTTTCAGCAAATGTACTAGAAGCCTTTTCAGTAATAGATGCTTTGCTATAGAGCTCATAATTCGTTTTGCTCATTTGTTCTCTAAGAAATCCAATAGTGTCTTTTTGTTGTTGTTGTTGTAATTGTTTAGAATGTTATTTGGGCTGAGTGTGGTGGCATATGCCTATAATCTCAGCACCCAGAAGGCTGGGGTAAGAGGATAGTTGTGAGTTTTAGGTCAGGCTGTGCTGTATAGTGAGTTTAGGAAAAACCAACAAAAAAAAGTTCTTGACTGTATTTCCACCAACTTTCTTTTTTTTATTTTAAAGAGGGTAAAATTAAACAGAACAAAACAGATCATAAGGAAACAATTTTAAGAAACATGGATCTCAAAGCAAGACCACTGGAGATTTTTACTGTCTATCATATTGTCTCTTGTTTTCTTCCAAATAGTTGTCCCCATCTTCACACACAGTGAATACATACTGAACATTATAGTACCAAACTAATCAGAACAGGATGATGAAAGCTTTTTAGATCTTCAAGACCAGACATTAGGGAAGTCAACAATGGCTGCCATAATGTCTCTTGTTCTCTTCGAAGTAGCAGTCCATATCTTTATATATGTTGAAATTAAACATAATAGACTACTCTAATATCACTCTGAACAGTGAATAATAGTATAGCTAGATTTTATATCATAGTGCTACATAACTAGACCTGGGTATCTTAGTGTCTCCTCTTCTTCAGAGTGTCTATTCATTACATCTTGCATTATATAATTTGTTCTCATAAACTGTTTAGAAATTCTCCACATATGTGAATCTCTACATATATACCTATCCTTTCTGTATTATAGGGAAAAACAGAACAAAACAAGACAACAGAACAAATTCCTAGAAAACCATGAAATGAAAAAGACATACAAACCCCCCATATTAGGTGATCTACAGTAGTTACTATGCTGTCTCTTACTATTTTCAATAGAATTGTCTACATCGTCAGACATAATATAATTAAACATAGCATTACATAGCAATTTTAATAAAAACACAACATTGGAGACATTGTAGGACTTCAAAAGCAGTTAATAATTAAACCGGAATGGGTATCTTATTACATCTTGTCATCTTCAGAGTAGTTGCCTCTACTATTAGACTTGATACTATCAAGCATACCAAATTCAAATAAAATCAGTCAAGACAAAACAGCAATCTAACAAACCAGATTCAAATAAGATCAGTCACAGTAAGACAATGTAAGTAATATGGGCTTCAGTTTAAGTTAATAGGGAATTAAGGATATTTACTACAGTGCATCCTGCTGTTTTTGGGATAGCTATCTTTGCCCTCAAATCTAGTATGAGTAGACAGACTGGAACAAAATAAAATCAAACTAAACAGAGTGTAAGACTAATGTGGCTTTTAAATCCTGATACACTATTAGCAATGTCCTCTGCTTTCCTTTTTTAGACAGTTCCTCCCCTTTCCCTTTCTCAGGGTGCTTTGTATATTTTGGGTCCCACTAACTCCTTTAGTTTTTAGATTAGGGGAGCAACTCATTAGCTATCTAAGTGGTATTAAATCTTTTTAACCCCTGAGCTTGATGTTGAGCTGTAGTCCTTTACTTACTAAAGCCTCAAGGTTTTCCTTCCTTCTAGTTGAGTAGTTCTCCACTGCACAAAAGTGTCATGACTTTCCAACTTATCTGCAGCTGCTGGATGACTTGTCCCTATTTCTCTCTGGTTCCCTGTCACATAGAGCTTTGTTTTCTCATCTTTGACTTTCAGTTTATTAACACTCTTTCAGGTTGAGTATATTTCCTATTCAGAGCATCTCAATGGATCCTATCTCCTGATCTACTCTACCTGTGTTTCTTTTTGTTAGTGTATCAAGGCTATCTATATTAGAGATTATAACCCACCCTCTCTGCCTCATCTCTGCTATTCTATTTTTCTGCTATTATTTGTCCACTTTTCTCCTTCATTTCACTGTCTGCCCCATTCATTAAGGCCTCTCTGCCACTGTTGCTAAAATCCTGATATTTTTTTCCTCTCTCTGGAATGTCCGTCACTGTTTTTTGTAGGATTGGATTAGTGGCCACGAACTCCCTCAGTTCCTCCTTGTCATGGAAAGATCTTGTTTCTCCATTAATTTTGATAGAGTTTTTCAGGGTACATCCATCTGGGTTGGAGGTTATATTCTTTCAGGGCTTAGACTACTTCACTCCTGGCTCTTCTTGATTTGATAGTTTGTGTTGAGAAGTCTGTAGTTATTTTGATGTATTTTCTTTTATAGGTAGTCTGCTTCTTTTCCCTGACCATTTTTAATATTCTGTTCTTGTGGTGAATTTCTGGGATCTTGATTATTATTATATGTCTGGTTGTAGATCTGTTTTGGTTGTAGTTGGTTGGAGGTCTGTATGCCTCATTTATCTGGTTATCATTTCTTTTTCTTATGCTTGGGAAGTTTTCCTTAATTCTGTGAATAGCCTTTGTAATTCATTTGTGGTTACTCCTGTTTCTTTGCTCACATTTTTTTATTCTTAAGTTATAGATCCTCTTGTTGTCTTCTAACCTTTGTATTGTTACTTCCTGGTTCTTTGTTATTTTTAAGAGGTCTTTTCTTTAACCATCACACATTGCAAATCTATCTTCAAATTTTGAAAGGCTAACTTTTAGTTTCTGTCTAGGCATTTTGCCAGCTTTCAATGGAGTTTTTAATTTCCTGGTAATCTCTTTGGATCTATTTCATGTATTCTAGATTTTGTTTATATTCTTCACCAAAGGTTTCTCTTCTTTTTCTGGGTTCCTCCATTCTTCCATCTGTGTCTTCTTAAGAGGGGCTTAGCATTTCTTTTATTAATCTTTTTATATCTTGCCTCACTTGGATTAGAATTTGTTTTAAGTTTGTCTATGAGGTCATGAAGGTATTTTTTTATGTCCGCTTTATGTGCTGGTAGAAGGTATTTCTTTTTATGTTGTAGCCAATATTGCATGATTGTTGCACTGGATCTCTTCTGTATTTACCTCTCCTGGACTTTTTTTCCAGGGTCAGCGGCTGGAGGCTTTTTCTTATTTCTTTCTCTTGTCATATTTCTGGTTTCTTTCAGACAGGTGTGTGGTGGAGGTCTCAGGCCCTCTCCATATTGCTTCAACAGTTTTTCTAATGCGTGCTGGCTGGGGGCTGCCTTCTTCAGTTTGCTGTTATCTGAGATGCACACAGGAACTGTGAGCTGGCCCCTCTTCTCTGAGCCAGTCAACTGGCAAGTGCCTTCAGCACGTTAGTCTGTGCTTTGTGGATGTCACAGGTTCGGGACATTTTCATCTCTGGCTGTTGGGTCCCAACCAGGGGCATGACTTAGCCCAAGCAGGTCCCACCAGTCCTCTTTGGGCCAGGGGCAGCTGACTGATGCCACTGTAGTTCCAGGTTCAGACATATCCTGCCCAACTCTAGTATGTCCTCCAGCCGGCCCCACCCACTGCAGGACCCAATTTCCAGCACTCACTGGGAATTAATGCAGTTCTCCACCTTCGCTCCACTCTACGATGTACTGCATCCTCCTGCCAAAGGGCCCAGACTCACCAGCTCCCGATTTCAGAGGCCGTGGGTTCAGTGCGACCGTGAATCGTCCCAGCTCCACCACATGCCCAGCACCGCACGGACCAGTCCTACTAAGCACATCTGGTTCCAGTCTTTCACCCACATTTTTTCCTTCCTTTTTTTTCTTTTTCCTCAGTTTCTTCCTGGGTCGTGAGAATCCCTCTCCTTTCATCTGGTCTTCTCCATGGTGTTAAGTTCTAGCATCTGAGTTGTTTTTCTCAGAGAGGCTCTCTGCCCTGCTACCTATCAATCCACCATCTTCAGAACTCCCCTTTCCACCAACTTTCATCAACACTTTATCACAGTAATTTTCAGCTGTGCTCCTCACTTCCTCCTCATTCACTGGTTCTGATTTATTTATTTCACACATCTGGTCAACCATAAAATTTTCCTTATCTCATTCTAAGCTGTTAAAATCTGTAACTTTAACAGAAGCAATGTAGTGCCCACTGCTCATTGTAATATCAGTATGTGTTAAAACTGCAAATAATAGCTGCCATTAGTTGGCCTTGCTCCATTTTTCTAGTGACAGTTTAAATGGTATCATTAAAGGAGGGTTGATCTTGGACAGACCACCTATAAGACTCAAACTCCAAGCCACTAGCCACAAAGCACCTCAAATGAATAGTTATAATTTCAGGCATTTTGTCAAACAACACATCATCTGGCTTCAGTGTAATGATGACAGTTTTTACAGAAATATTTATCTTGGAGCTGGGGATTTAGCTCAGCGGCATAAGCACCTCCCTTGCAAGCAGGTGGTCATGAGTTCAATCCCCGGGACCGATTAAAAAAGAAAAAAAAAGAAATATTTATCTTGTACAATACTCTCCACTGAAGCAAATTGTGAATTTGCCTTCATTTTTGTTTTTGGTGCTGAAGGAATTTCAAAACTCTCCTCTACTTTGGAAATTGCATCTTCTTCTATTAGTACATTAATGTCCTGAAAGTCTTCTCTTTCTGTTAAAGACTTTCACACTCCAAGCAATGAGTCCTTAATATCAGTTGACCTTGAAATAATTTTTTTCACTAGCTCAGAACCAGTTTGCTCTGCACCTTTGTTTAGGGGCTTATCTTCATTAACATCCATAGGTTTACTATTGGGGAGATTCAGGTCAACAACCATTAGTTATATTATTACTTTTGTGCTTCCCAAAGTTCTCTCCAAAATCATACTTATTTTCTTTAGATTTTCCTTTGGATTCTTGGTTTGTGTTAGTTTTCCTAGACTACAGAATTTAGAAGAAATTTTAGGAAGTTTTATTACAAGCTTTAACCAATTTAATGCGATTTCTCACATGTGTCTATGTTCTCTTTTTCAGAAACACACTTATGGGGAGACTCCAGTGTATCACCAGTAGCTTTTCTTTTTGAGCTAGTTTGGCTCTGGTTCTTATCCAGTAATTGATGATCCATGGAAACTTGAACTTTTTCTTCATGTTACCAAATTCAGTGTCATGTTTTCTTTTTATATTCTCTTTTAGGCATTTTTCATTATAATTCTCAGAATTGCTCATTTTGTCCATCTCTGTGCTGTTAATTCTGCTCAGTTCCTCTTTATGATGAGATTTTCCTTCTGTAGATAACTCTGCCTGATTTGTACCTTTTTTTTTTTTTGAAGTTGGCATGTTTTTTAATGTTTCCCAAAATACAGTAATACCTCCTGTGATTGTGTTACAGATATTCTTCATATATAGGATTGAGTTTCTGGAAAGTGTGAAGCAGTTGTCTTGGCTGAGTAGCAAGTTCATCAGTGTATTTTTCTGGATGTAAGGGGAAACTAACCTGAAGCTGTTCAGCTGAAATGATTAAGGACTAAACTATGTATAAGTTAATAATTTGGCAAACAATCTTCTTTGCGATTTCCTTTGTCTTTTGGATTGGCTTCATCCTTTAGCACCTCTTTCTTCTTTAAAATAGTATTAAGTAAGTGCTTCACTCTAGATTTAAAACCAGTACAAAATTATTATAAGACCTGAAGTACACCATTCAGGTGACAAATATTGCCAAGATTATTCAGTCCCACAAGTGGCAGCAAGTTTTCTCTATTTATAAGTGAGAACTGTGCTGCTGGAACAACTTAGTCAATTTCTGATCCTCTGTATTCAGAAACTTTTTCATTTTCTTGAGTCTGTAAAATCTAAGGTTCCCTTTAGCTTCCATTTTTTTCTGAAAAAACTTAAAAAAGGAAAATCATTCTCTCTTAGATGGACTACTGAAAGCTCATTACTTTCATTAGGAATGACACCAAGGATTTTTTTCCCAAATCCCAAGGAATTGACAAGAATTTATAGAGAGCAACTGTAAGCAGCAATTTTATCTGGTCCACATCTCACATGAAGCCGCCAAGCCAGTCAGCACTTACAACACTGGTGGTGCCCACCAGGAAGCTCGCAGCTACTATCCAACCAGAGGACCTTGGCATGATTTCCTCAGTGAGGACCATGGGCCTCTTGACAATCCACACCATATTCCTACAAATAAACCAGATAACACCTGCTTTCATAGTTATCAACTTGTACAGATAACACTGACTGTACAGTGTACAGCAAAATAAAATAATTAGAATATGAATATGTGGCCTTGAAGAGTAAGAAGAAAAAGGAAATGTGGTAGTTGGCAGGAAGTCTAATAATAGCCCAGGGAACTCTGAATCCAACATTCTTCTTTTTTTTTGAGACACAGTCTGGCTATGTAGTTTAGGCTGGGTTTAAACTGAACTCACTGTGTAGCCCAGGCTGGCCTCAAATTTTAAGCCTCCTGTCTTAACCTCCCAACTGGCAAAAGCGGCATGGCTGATACACCTGGCTCAGAATCAAACATTTTGGTACTTATTAATGAAGGAAATTGTTTAAGATAGAGAAATTTTAGATGCTATTTATTTATGGAAATACATGCTATTTATGGAACAAAAGCTTAAAATAAGGAGGATTTGTTTGATTTTTTTTCTGGTCTCAAATTTGCAGTGCTCCTCCTGCCTCAGCCTCCCAAGTACTGGGATTATATGTGTGTGCCTGATTTAATAAAAAGGTCTTGAGTTAATGTTTTTGACATAAACTGATCCAGAGGACTGTACTATACAAGAATAAGAAAAAAAACTATTTAAGGTAGTTAGGGTGTTACTGTTTGTAAGTATATATTGTACAGTTTATTTAGCTGTGATGAAGCTGTAACTAATGTAGAAGTTACATACCATCAGCTTAGTTATTTAGAAATGCACGTTAATACTTATCTGGTATCAGAAAATCTGAGTGCTGGTTTTTTATTGGCCTGGACCCTGCTTACTGTTTTTGGTTAAGTGAAATGTCAAATCATTAATACTGTGCCATTTATTTTAGCAAATTAGCAAAAATAAATTTGCTAAGTAATTATAGTAACAACAAAAGAAAATATTTTTATGCACAGATTTTCTTTATGCTTTAAATTTATGAGTATAAATAATAACACTACATTTTATTACAAATTACAGTAAAAATGTTTAAAGTTACAGGAGTTAGAAGTGGAAAGCTGGGTAAAGGTTTACAGAACGCTTTAAGATAGCCAGTGTCACGAAAAAAGGCTGCTTTGAAGAAAAGTAGAGACAAGGATAGGCCTAGGAGAATAAATGGTACTTTCTAGTATGGGTGAGGAATTGAATCATGATTTAGGAGCAGAAATAGCACAAATATAAGATAACATAGTATTTCTCTGTCTCTTTATAGATTGGCTTTGTTTGGAAAAAGAAACAGAATCACTCTTCCATCTCTTAAATCTTAGAGCTAGCCCTAGATATAAATCTTTAAGCAACACAGAACTACATAAACTAGTAAGATACATGTTTTCTCAAAGCATATTATGAAATTCTGCCTTAAAATGAACATACTGTTTCTTTGTCAAATGTTTTTATAGATGCCATTCCACAATCTATGCAAGATTTGCTGTGTATGAATAATGACTTTCCTCCAAGAGCACATTGCCTGGTAAGATGGTATGTATATATTTTATTCAGATGTCTTTTATTATGTGTGTCAGGGAGACCCCAAAACTGCCCCCGCTTCCCATGACTTATTAGGACTCAGAGGATTCAACATCTTGTTAGTTGTATTTGCAGCGGCTTTATTACAGCAGTATAATACAAAGCAAAATAAGCAAAAGGAGAAGTCACATGAAGCCAAGTCCAGTGGCGTGCGAGCTTTTAAGAGTCCTTTTCTAACAGAGTTATACTTCATTCCCTCAGAAACATGTGACAATACAGTGAAGCATCACTTATCAGGAAAGCAGGTTAGATGCTCAGCCTTTCAGATTATAAATGATGGAGGGCTGGTCAGATAGGCACTCTCTGGTTAGTATATAGCAAAACTTTATTCCCAGCAAGAAAGCAGGTGTTTAGCAAAAACCATATTTGCATAAATATTTTAGGCACAGCAAGCAACACTTTATCAGTTCTGGGAATATTGAAGACCCTTGGAAAATTTAAATTTCCAGATACCAACCAAGAGTAGTCCTTACAGGTAGGCTTTTCCAAGGATACCTGGTTGTTGTTGACTCTTTCACACGTTTCATAGTCTAGGGTAGTGCTTAACTATAATTCTAATGACTAGCATGTAACCCTTTGAACTTTTGTTGGAAATTGAATTGAAATAAAATGTTGATCACAATTATGTGATAAAATTAACTTATATCTCAACTATATATGTGATACATTAATGTAAGAGGCATATCACATTTAAAAGGTTGCTTCAGTTATTTTTCAGTTATTTAAAGAGTGTGTAAGCCTTTATTTATATTGGAGGGGTGGTAGTAAAACATGCCTTCACAAAAATGTCCCTAATATGAGTAGGTAGTCTTGAAAAGAGACCTAGGTAAAAGAAGTTTATATATTGTTTTTGTCATTCTGTTAGTATAGATTGATCTTTTGACTTTTTATTAAAAACTTCTAAGGGAAAAAGCATTTATAATATCTATATCTCTTTATTCTTCATTGTGATCAGTCTAGAGAATGGATTATGTAGCACATTGTTTAAAAAAGAGATGATACATCGGTATGATAGCATACGCCTATAATCCTTATTACTTGGGAGAATGAAGCAGTACGATCACAAGTTTGAGGCCATCCTGGTCAACTTAGTGACACTGTGTCAAAAGAAGCAAAAAGGGGGCTGGGAATTTAGTTCAGCAGCATAAGTGCCTACCTTGTAAGCACTTAGTCGTGAGTTCAATCCCCGGTGCAAAAAAAAAAATCAAAAGAGCTGTAGATGTATGTAGAGAATACTCATCCTGAATTGAATATTCAGTCTCCCAAAACAAATTTATCTGTAAATGTACATAAACTGAATAATATTTCTTAAGTATTCCCATTTTAGTATAGTCTTTTTAAAACAGTGAATATAACTGAAACAACTTTAGGTAGAAGGAATATAATATACCAAATGCCCATTTTTTAAAAAAAGAATGTAATACAAACATTAAACCATGTATTTCATTTACTCTTCTTAGATTCTTTTCTGGTCTTCTAAAACATGAATACACACATTTAGCATAAATAAATACATCAGACGACTATGCATGCACACATTCATTCAACATTAATTAGATACTTGTGGTTGAGCCAGACATTGAATTAGACCAACAGGTTTAGCTCCTAGCTAAGGTACTTATTGTTTCTTCCAACTTTGGGAAGTTACTTAATTTCTGTTTGTTTCTACATTGGTAAAGTAAAGATAATAAATAATATACATCTTTCAGGTTGTCCTGATAATTAAATAAGATCATGGTATAATAGATTTATCAAAATCTGAATGCTATCACATAGTTTCTCTAGCTTTTTAATATATGTGTTCTCTCAAACTGTGCTTGCACATAGTCCATACTTAAAAACATTTGTTAGTGAATTAATATAGGTAAACTTTGTACTTTTAAAAAATACTGTTTAAATTGACAGGCAATAACATTGATTTTTGGGGAATGAGAGAGTGAATAGGTCTCTGAACTTTTAATACATACATTGATTTGTTTTTAACTACTTCCACAATCAAGATATAGAATGGTTCTATAACCCCCTTTTTAAACAAAACAAAACAAAACCCTGTCTCATAGTCTCACTTTTCTGTCATTGTAATTCCTGGAATCACTGATTTGTTTTCAGTCACTGTGCTTTTTATTCTTTCAGGAATGTTTTTTGAATGGAACTATAAAATATACAATTATGTGAGACTAACTTTTACTCAACATAGTATATTTAAAATTCTTTGAAATAATTGTGTGTGTCAATAGCTTTTTATTGATATTTTATTGTGAAGATGTACCACAATTTAATCATATATTCATTCCTTAAAAGATATTAGCATCACTTCTAGGTGTGTTACTTTATTAAAGTTACTGTAAACGTTTGTGTACAGGTTTTTGTACATTTTCACTTTTAGTAAATACTTAATAGGGCTGGGAATTTAGCTCAGTGGCATAGAGCACCTGCCTTGCAAGCGCATGGTCAAGGGTTCGATCCTCAGTACCCACCCCCTCAAAAAAAATTAACTAGTAAATATTTAATGGATTGCTAAGTTTAATTTTGTAAAGAAGCCAAACTGATTTTCAAAGTAGCTTCATCATTTTGTTTTCTCACCAACTGTGTATGACAGTTCCATTTGGGTTCCACATTTCCACCAGCAGTTAGTGTTGTACTTCTGTTTTAGCCCCACTCGGAATGTGTAGTTGTATCTTATCTTAATTTTAAATTTTGAGCATTGTTCAATGTTTTATTTGTCCTTTATATGTACTTTGTTGAAATATTTGCTCATGTCTTTTCTACAGTTTTAATTGAATTGTTTTCTTACTGTTGAGTCTTGAAAAAATTTTTTAAAATATATTTTGCATATCCTTTTTAGAATGTGTGATTTGCAAGTATTTTTTTCCTATGGTGCAGCTTCTTCTCATTTTCATAATGATGTCTTTTTTAGAGAAATTATTGTTAAATTTTATCAACTTTTAATTTTATGGATTGAGCTTTTGGTGCCATGTCTAAAAACTCTTGAATTTTGTGAAAGACTTTTTGTGCATCTGTTTGCTGTGTTCTGATAATATACATGATATAGTTTTAATTTTTTTTACATTTACCTAAGTTTGCTTTATTGGCTAGTATGTGCTGTATTTTTGGTAAAGTTCTTAAGAGAAGGATGTACGTACTGTTATGTAGAACACTTTGTAGATATATAAGTCCATTTGTGAAAATTTTGTTCAGCTTCAATACTTTGGGTTATTTTGTTTGTTTGTTTTTTTGCCTAGTCAGACTATTTGAATTCTTTTTTTTATTTTTTTTTTTTTTGGTGGGGGGGATCAAACTCACGACTTTGCACTTGCCAGGCAGGCACTTATGCCACTGAGCTAAATTCCCAGCCCTAGTCAGTTTATTTGTTATTGAGATCCCTTACTACAATTGGATTTCTCTGATGTTTTATGTACAGTGTTACTTGTTTTATGAAGTTGAGTATGCAGCTGTTCCTTGCATGTATATTAATAATTGTTTTTTTCTTCCTATTGTATTGCTTCTTTAGTATGTAGTGACCTTCTTTGCGCCTTTTGACCAGTTTTGGTTTGAAGTCCACTTTGTCTCAATATAGGATAGTTATACCTGTTTTTTTGAGGGGATACCTGTTGCATGGGAATATTATTTTGCATCCTTTGATTTTAGTGTGTTGGGGTTAAGTGTGTTTCTTATGCTCAGCATACTGTTGATTTGTTCTGTTTTGTGTTTTTTATTTTAAAAGAATAAAAATGATGATACAGAATTTCAAAACAAAATAATAGATTAACAGTGGTTAATATATTACATATTGTTATCTTCAAAGTAGTTGTTCAGATTATAAGATATAGGCATGAAAAGTTTCTTGATCCATTCTACCAGTCTGTCTTTTGCTAAAGACTATTCATATTGAGAATTATTACTGTAAGTTGTTAATCTATATCTGCGATTATATTATCTTCTCACTGCTAATTCCCTATTTTTCCCTTCTACTTAATTGCTTACCCTATCTGATATATTCATTTTGTTAGACTTTTTGTTATTATTAACTTCATTGTCTTTTTCTAGGATATTCTGAGAATTTTTTGAAGCTCTGATTTGTTAGTCATAAATTTCTTCATGTCCTATTTATCACGAAAGTACTTTATTTTTCCGTCAATTCTGAAAGGTAGTTTTGCAAGATCTGTCAAGTTGATGAGTAAATGAGTCTTCTTTTATAAGTGATTTGTTGCTTTTCTCTTAAACACTTTTAAGATTCTGTTTTTGTGCTGGATTTGGATTTTTGCTTTGATGTATCATGGAGAAATTCTTTTCTGCTTGTGGCCATTTGGATTCCTATGTGGCCTCATTTGTCTGTATGTTAAATTCTTTTCCTTTACTTGGAAAGTGTTCTGCTTATCTTTCAGTAGGTTTTCTTGGCTATTTGTGCTGTCTTCTCATTTTTCACAAATTTCACATTTTATCTGAGTCTGCAATTATTATGATTGCTAATATTAAATTTATTAAAATGTTGAGTGCTTGCTTTGGCATAACTCATAGTAAATGTATTAAAATTTTGAATGCTATAGTTTATGTCATTCTTAGCCACTGAAAAACAACATACACAAAGTTTCATGTATAAACAGTTTATTCATTACGCTAATATAGCTATAGTGGTAAAAATTTGAAAGCTATTATAGAATAATTTCCATTTATAAATATTCATTTATATCATACTTTTATAGTTGGAATAAGTTAACTTTGTCAGAATGAGGTACAGTTAATGTATAATTGCTTTTTTGTTGTTGTTTTTTGAGACAAGGTCTCACTATGTAATTCAAGTTGGCCTTGAAGGTTCTGTGAAGCCCAGGCTGGCCTCGAACTTGTGAGTTACCCTGCCTCCGCCTTCTTAGTGCTGGGGTTACAGGCGTGCACCACCATGCCTGACATAATTTACATTTTGAAAACAAACATTTTTCCCTCTCTGTGCTGGA